CGGCACCAACAATGGACAAGGGGCGCCTCGCTCTCCTCCTCCCGCGTTTCTCCTCGTCGGCCTTCCCCACACTCCCTCCCTCCCTGACACTCGTTCCTCTACGCCCCCTCGCGCAGCTCAAGCAGGTCTTCTCGCACGAGAAGCACGCCGACAACAGCGGCCACACGTCCACCACCGGCCCGCACAGCACCACCCAGACCCCGACCACCTCTGCCGCCGGCGACCGCACCACCACTGGCCACGAGTCGGCCGTCGAGAAGGTCGAGGACAAGATTGCCGCCCGCTCGACCCACGACTCGACCACCCCGACCCGCACCGACCCGCTCGAGCCGTCGTCGGCGTCGCGCACCGGCCCGACTGGCACCACCGGCACCACCTCGACCGGCTCGACGGGCGCCTCGGGCGCCATCCACAACGCCGAGTCGCGCATCCGCGAGCACGCCCAGCCGCCGGCGCACCACCACAACCAGCCGACCCGCGACGGCCTCCTCGACGAGGCGGGCGCCAAGCAGGCGACCCATGACCACCAGCACCTCGCCCCGATCACCCACGAGACCCGCCAGAAGCACGAGATCGAGGAGGTCGAGCGCCAGCGCGAGGTTGACCGTCACGGTGCGTCCTCGCCCTCCTCATCCTCGTTCGGCCTTCCCAAACTGACCTTGCCCTTTCCTCCAGTCCACCACGTCCAGCACCACGTTCAGCCGGTCCTCGACACCCAGCACCAGGCCGAGCAGCAGCGCGAGAACATTGTCCAGCCGACCGAGATCAAGGAGCGCCACGTCGCGACCGCCGAGGACAAGGCCCAGTTCGCCTCGCTCGCCACCGGCCACGACGAGGTCCGCGACCTCGGCAAGGAGAAGGTCATCGTCGACAAGGGCGAGAAGGTCCACGAGAACACGCACCACCACGTCCACCACGTCGTCCAGCCCGAGATCAACCGCGACGTCCACGAGCACCAGCGCATCCACGTGCGTCCCTCGCCCTCGGTCCTCCCTTCCCCTCCCTCGGCCTTTGTCCTGACCCTATCCCTCTCCCACAGACGACCGTCCCCATCCACCAGACTGTCGAGGAGGCGCCCATCGTCCACGAGTCGGTCGCGCACGAGCCGCTCCAGATGAAGGACTTTGTCGCCAACGGCGGCGACCTCAAGTCGACGCTCAAGCACGACGCCGAGCTCCTCAACCGCGGCGAGTGCGAGCGCACCGTCGACGGCCCGGGCGAGACCCTCACCCAGTCGCTCGGCCTCACCGGCGGCAACTCGTCGTCGTCGGCCACCACCGGCACCACCGGGCAGCGCGCCCTTTAAAGGAGCGGCTTTGTTCGTCTCTCTCCCGCTTGAAGCAGTACTCTGTTCCGTGTAAATAGATACAGCAGTCACTCCCATCTCGATTTCCTCGTCGAGAGCGAGAGCGAGAGCATCTTCGAGCGAGTTGGCGAAAGGTCCGCGTTTCGCCCGGCTTGACCTTGCGCAAGGCGGCGGCTCCCGCTCCACGTTCTTGGCTTCCGCCTCGCTCTCTCGAAGCGTTCGACCCCTTGCTGTCGCTCGAACGACTCAAGCGGCGCTGGCAGTTCTTCGGACGAGCGGTCGGATCAGTTGCGCGTGTTCCCGACCTCGAGATCCGTCCGACTTGGCGCACGTTGGCGAGCGCTCGCTCTGCGCGCTCTCTCGCGCTCGTGCGTGTCGACAGGTTGCGTGCTGCAGCAGGAGACAGAGCGCAAATGCGGACGAGGCTCGAGCCGATCCGGGGTCTCCGCTCCGGCTGCCGCGCCGAGCTCGAGAGGGAGCGCGACACCTCTCGCTCGCCGTCTCTCGCCCACCGCTCGAGCCCAGCTGCTCGCCTGCACGCCATGACGAGCGAGAAAGGCGCACCGCTCCAGGGCGCGCTCGCCGGCCACGAGCCCTTCTACGTGCCTTCGTCGACGAGCCGGCAGGGCGGAGCTGGCTCGCGCCACCGCTCGAGCAGCCCGGGCATCTTTGGCAGGATCGGGCTCGCGCAGCCTTCGCTCCACATGTGCGTCCCCTCTCTCTAGCCCCGTCCCATCCCCTGGCGAGCCGAGCTGACCTCGCCGTTCCTCCCTCCCCTATGGCGAGAATGGTGTCGTCGTCGGTCGAGGTCGATTCGCTCGAAGAGGAGAACAAGGTTGAACCCGATGACTAGCCCGACGAGCCCTACGAGCCCGCGCCGCTGTCGCCGCTCGTGCCCGTGGCGCCTGCCGCTGCGGACGACCACGACTTGGACGAAGGGCTGTTCGTCGCCTGGGTCATGACTCCGCCCGAGCCTGCACCGCCACTCGATCCTGCCGAGTTGCGGATCACGCGCCGAGTCAGTTTCACGTCGCGCCTCGTGACTTTGTAGGAAGATGAGAGAGAGTTCAGCGTACCTCGATTCAGCCGCCTTCGTCCTCCCTGAAGCTGAGGCTGTAGCGGTCCCGCCACCACTGCCTTTCAAGGTAGCATGTTGTCCGACCCACTCCACTACTCCGGTGCGTTCTCGCATGTGACCTGACCCACTTCGTCAACTCACATCGCCGTCCCTGGTGGCTGTCTTTCCGTTCGGGCGTCTCTGCGAGCTAAAGATTGTCAATTCCCAGATTG